TTGCTTTAGCAGTATGCTTAGGGTCATTGTCCTGCTGGAAGGTGAACCTCCGTCCCAGTCTCAAATCTCTGGAAGACTGAAACAGGTTTCCCTCAAGAATTTCCCTGTATTTAGCGCAATCCATAATTCCTTCAATTCTGACCAGTTTCTCAGTCCCTGCCGATGAAAAACATCCCAACAGCATGATGCTGCCACCACCATGCTTCACTGTGGGGATGGTGTTCTCGGGGTGATGAGAGGTGTTGGGTTTGCGCCAGACATAGCATTTTCCTTGATGGCCAAAAAGCTCAATTTTAGTCTCATCTGACCAGAGTATCTTCTTCCATATGATTGGGGAGTCTCCCACATGCCATTTGGCAAACATGTTTACTTATTTTTTTCTTTAAGCAATGGCTCTTTTCTGGCCACTCTTCCGTAAAGCCCAGCTCTGTGGAGTGTACGGCTTAAAGTGGTCCTATGGACAGATACTCCAATCTCTGCTGTGGAGCTTTGCTGCTCCTTCAGGGTTATCTTTGGTCTCTTTGTTGCCTCTCTGATTAATGCCCTCCTTGCATGGTCTGTGAGTTTTGGTGGGCGGCCCTCTCTTGGCAGGTTTGTTGTGGTGCCATATTCTTTCAGTTTTTTAATAATGGTTTTAATGGTGCTCCGTGGGATGTTCAAAGTTTTGGATATTTTTTTATAACCCAACCCTGATCTGTACTTCTCCACAACTTTGTCCCTGACCTGTTTGGAGAACTCCTTGGTCTTCATGGTGCCGCTTGCTTGGTGGTACCCCTTGCTTAGTGGTGTTGCAGACTCTGGGACCTTTCAGAACAGGTGTATATATACTGAGATCATGTGACAGATCATGTGACACTTAGATTGCACACAGATGGACTTTATTTAACTAATTATGTGACTTTGAAGGTAATTCGTTGCACCAGATCTTATTTAGGGGCTTCATAGCAAAAGGGGTGAATACATATGCACACACCACTTTTCCGTTATTTATTTTTTATTATCTATGCATAGTCACTTTACCCATTTTTACATTTATATTTTAGTCATTTAGCAGACGCTCTTATCCAGAGCGACTTACAGTTAGTGCATACATTTTCATACTGGCCCCCCGTGGGAAAAGAACCCACAACCCTGGCATTGCAAGCGCCATGCTCTACCAACTGAGCTACACGGGGCCATATACAAAAACCTACATATACAAATTACCTCGACTAACCTGTACCCCGCACATTGACTCGGTAACCCCTGTGTATAGCCTCGTTATTTTTGGTCTATTGTGTGACTTTTCTTTTTCTTTTATTATATATATATATTTTTTTTACTTTAGTTTATTTAGTAAATATTTTCGTAACCCTATTTTCTTAAAACTGCATTGTTGGTTAAGGGCTTGTAAGTAAGCATTTCACAGTAAGGTCTACACCTGTTGTATTCGGCGCGTGTGACAAATAAAATTTGATTTGATTTGATCCCGGTTTCAACTGTACCAGGCAGATGGCAGACGTGTGGGCGAGTGGTTTGCTGATGTCAACGTTGTGAACAGAGTGCCCCATGGTGGCGGTGGGGTTATGGTATGGGCAGGCATACGCTAAGGACAACGAACACAATTGCATTTTATCGATGGCAATTTGAATGCACAGAGATAGCGTGAAGAGATCCTGAGGCCCATTGTCATGCCATTCATCCGCCGCCATCACCTCATGTTTCAGCATAATAATGCACAGCCCAATGTCGCAAGGATCTGTACACAATTCCTGGCAGCTGAAAATGTCCCAGTTCTTCCATGGCCTGCATACTCACACGACATGTCACCCATTGAGCATGTTTGAGGTGCTCTGGATCAACGTGTACGACAGCGTTTTCCAGTTCCCGCCAACATCCAGCGACTTTGTACAGCCATTGAAGAGGAGTGGGACAACATTCCACAGACCACAATCAACAGCCTAATCAACTCTATGCAAAGGAGATGTGTCTCGCTGCATGAGGCAGAAATGGTGGTCACACCAGATAGACTGGTTTTCTGATCTGTGACCAACAGATGCATATCTGTATTCCCATTCATGTGAAATATATATATATATATATATATATATATATATATATATATATATATATATATATATATATATTCGGGCCTAATTAATTAATTTCAATTGACTGATTTCCTTATATGAACTGTAACTCAGTCAAATCTTTGAAATTGTTGCGTTGATATTTTTGTTCAGTGTAATACCCTTGTCACACAGCTCTGCCAACCTGATCCAAACTGTACTGACTGAGATATTTTTTTTACACATTGTGCTTTCAGCACAGTTCCAGCCACTATGGTGGATGCGTAACAGTCCAGCTCAGTACAGCTTGGCTCGTCTTGGTTACTCTCAGCAGTGTGAAAATCCCTTAGAGTGTATAACACTGCAGAGAAACAGTGAAGGAGAAGGAGGAAAGGAGACGGTAAATAATACAGTATGTGTGAGACAAAGACATTATGAGTGATACCGTGTGTGTGTGTGTGTGTGCGCAACTCGTGTGTGTTTTTGTGTGACCCGTGTGCTGAAGGATCATGCCATCTCACCAGTTTTGACTAGATGGGATGCCGCTAATGTCAGAAGTGACTTTTCGCAGCAGGTAAGGACATTTAACATAGCAGGTTAGGTAAAATTGGTTAGGGTTAGGTAAAATGCAAGAATTCTCCCCTATGCGACTCGAACATGCAAGTGTTGACTTCACATTGACATTAACGGCATCCTTTCTAGACATGATCCATCTCACCAACCATCTCTCCTGCCAACTCACCACACCTGAACTCTGCTCATCATCATTCCTCTCCCATTTCTCTGGTATATAAGCAAGCTTGTTTTCCCTCAGTGTTTGTGGTGGGATGGGGCAGCACAATTCCTTTGCCTTTTGTTGGGAGTGACCTGACTAAAGTAAGTACATTACAGTTGAAGTCGGAAGTTTACATACACCTTAGCCAAATACATTTAAACACAGTTTTTCACAATTCCTGACATTTAATCCTAGTAAAAATTCCCTGTTTTAGGTCAGTTAGGATCACCACTTTATTTTAAGAATGTGAAATGTCAGAATAATAGTAGAGAGAATGATTTATTTCAGCTTTAATTTATTTCATCACATTCCCAGTGGGTCAGAAGTTTACATAGTATTTGGTAGCATTGCCTTTAAATTGTTTAACTTGGGTCAAACGTTTCAGGTAGCCTTCCACAAGCTTCCCACAATAAGTTGGGTGAATTTTGGCCTACTCCTCCTGACAGAGTGGGTGTAACGGAGTCAGGTTTGTAGGCCTCCATGCTCGCACACGCTTTTTCAGTTCTGCCCACAAATGTTCTATAGGATTGAGGTCAGGGCTTTGTGATGGCCACTCCAATACCTTGACTTTGTTGTCCTTAAGACATTTTGCCACAACTTTGGAAGTATGCTTGGGGTCATTGTCCATTTGGAAGACCCATTTGCGACCAAGCTTTAACTTCCTGACTGATATCTTGAGATGTTGCTTCAATATATCCACATAATTTTCCTTCCTCATGATGCCATCTATTTTGTGAAGAAGTGCACCAGTCCCTCCTGCAGCAAAGCACCCCCACAGCATGATGCTGCCACCCCCGTGCTACACGGTTCGGATGGTGTTCTTCGGCTTGCAAGCATCCCCCTTTTTCCTCCAAACATAACGATGGTCATTATGGCCAAACAGTTCTATTTTTGTTTCATCAGACCAGAGGACATTTCTCTAAAAAGTACGATCTTTGTCCCCATGTGCAGTTGCAAACCGTAGTCTGGCTTTTTTATGGCAGTTTTGGAACAGTGGCTTCTTCCTGGCTGAGCGGCCTTTCAGGTTATGTCGATATAGGACTCGTTTTACTGTGGATATAGATACTTTTGTACCTGTTTCCTCCAGCATCTTCACAAGGTCCTTTGCTGTTGTTCTGGGATTGATTTGCACTTTTCACATCAAAGTACGTTCATCTCTAGGAGACAGAACGCATCTCCTTCCTGAGCGGTATGACGGCTGCATGGTCCCATGGTGTTTATACTTGCGTACTATTGTTTGTACAGATGGTACCTTCAGGCGTTTGGAAATTGCTCCCAAGGATGAACCAGACATGTGGAGGTCTACAATTATTTTTCTGAGGTCTTGGCTGATTTCTTTTCATTTTCCCATGATGTCAAGCAAAGTGGCACTGAGTTTGAAGGTATGCCTTGAAATACATCCACAGGTACACCTCCAATTGACTCAAATAATGTCAATTAGCCTATCAGAAGCTTCTAAAGCCATGACATCATTTTCTGGAATTTTCCAAGCTGTTTAAAGGCACTGTCAACTTAGTGTATGTAAACTTCTGACCCACTGGAATTGTGATACAGTGCATTATAAGTGAAATAATCTGTCTGTAAACAATTGTTGGAAAAATTACTTGTGTCATGCACAAAGCAGATGTCCTTAACCGACTTGCCAAAACTATAGTTTGTTAAAAATAAATTTGTGGAGTGGTTGAAAAATGAATTTTAATGACCCCAACCTAAGTGTATGTAAACTTCCGACTTCAACTGTATACTGTGTAATTGTAATGTAGAACCCATGTATATTTATGTTGTTTGCAAGCTCATAGTTTGACCTAATGTCTGCACCGGCTTAGTATATGTTTTCTGTAGTGCAGCAAGTAATATCCTTTGCTTATCCTAACTTGTGTATTGCTATATGGTGTAGCCTACTTTATATACTACCGGTATTAGTTATGACACTGGTCAGTCACGTATGCTAATGTATTCTCTCCCCGTTGTATTCCTTCCAGACCCCCCCCCATGTGCTGCTGTGTCCTTGTGCTGTGCCTTGTTAGTTTAGTAATAAAATAACCAGAACTGGGAAACCTTATCTTCGACCATCATTCCTGCATTGTTATAGATGCCCCATAGTTTCAATATCACTCCTCAACCTAAGTTAAGATACAGTCCACCATAGTCCTTTTCTTTAGCATGTGTGTGTACCTCTCCACTGCCTGGCGGAGGTGTGTCATCCAGGTGTTGCGCTCCTCCTTGGAGGCGGTGTGGATCTCGTACATCTCAGGCTCGTTGGAGGAGGCGCAGATTAGGAACATGGCCTTCTCTTCGTGGGCCACCTCCCTCACTATCAACTTCTGGAGGGAGATCACTGATGGCTTGTTGTCCTGGGGGAGATACAGAAGGCAGCTAGAAGTCACATTGAAAGAAAATGGCACCAGGAAACACACTTCATAGTTCTAGAGCAGGGATGGGCATCTCCAGTCCTCGGGGGCCTGATTGGTGTCACACTATTGACCCAGCTAACACACCTGACTCCAATAATCAATTAATCATGATCTTCAGTTTAGAATGCAATTCGTTTAAATCAGCTGTGTTTACTAGGGATGGGGGGGGGGGGGAGTGTGACACTACTCTGGCCCCTGAGGACTGGAGTTGCCCATCCCTATTCTATACAGAAGACTGCTGTATCTATACTGAATAAAAATATAAACATTGATCCATCAGCTGATATAAAAGATCCCAGAAATGTTCCATATGTACAAAAAGCTTATGTTAGTGAGGATTTCTCCTTTGCCAAGATAATCCATCCACCTAACAGGTATGGCATATCAAGAAGCTTGATCATAACACAGGTGCACCTTGTGCTGGGGACAATGAAAGACCACTCTAAAATGTGCAGTTTTGTCATACAACACAATGCCACAGATATCTCAAGTTGAGGGAGCGTGCAATTAGCATGCTGACTGCAGGAATGTCCACCAGAGCTGTTGCCAGAGAATTGAATGTTCCTTTCTCTACCATAAGCCGCCTCCGTTGTTTTAGAGAATTTGGCAGAATGTCCAACCGGCCTCACAACCGCAGACCACATGTAACCACGCCAGCCCAGGACCTTCCTGCAGGATCGTTTGAGACCAGCCACCCAGACTGCTGATGAAATTGTGGGTGTGCACAACGAAGAATTTCTGCACAAACTGTCAGAGACAGTCTTAGGGAAGCTCATCTGCGTGCATGTCGTCCTCGCCAGGGTCTTGACCTGACTGCAGTTTGGGGTCGTAACCGACTTCAGTGGGCAAATACTCACCTTCGATAGCCACTGGCACACTGGAAAAGTGTGCTCTTCATGGATGAATCCCGGTTTCAACTGTACCGGGCAGATGGCAGCCAGCGTTATGGCATTATGTGGGCGAGCGGTTTGCTGATGTCAACTTTGTGTTCAGAGTGCCCCATGGTGTCAGTGGGGACAACGAACACAATTGCATTTTATCGATGGCAATTTGAATGCACAGAGATACCATGACGAGATCCTGAGTTCCTGCTCTGGATTGACGTGTGTTCCAGTTCCCGCCAATATCCAGCGACTTCGCACAGCCATTGAAGAGGAGTGGGACGACATTCCACAGACCACAATCAACAGCCTAATCAACTCTATGCGAAGGAAATGTGTCGCGCTGCATGAGGCAAATGGTGGTCACAGCAGATACTGACTGGTTATCTGATCTGTGACCAACAGATACATATCTGTATTCCCAGTCATGTGAAATCCATAGATTAGGGCCTAATTAATTTATTTCATTTTTCCTTATATGAACTGTAACTCAGTAAAATCGTAGAAATTGTTGCATGTTGCGGTTATATTTTTGTTCAGTCTAACTTTCTTTTGAGTTAGTATGCCAGATTTGTCAGTGTTTTCCAGAATGGCAAAGCTCAAGTTAGTCATGTTACCTGGTGGAATTAACTAACATAAAAATGCATGACTCACCACAGTAGAGAAGACATATCTCTGGTCTTTCTCTTGGAGTAACAAAAGGACATCTGACAGCAGCACAGCGAGAATATCTGAAATGAAAGGAGTTACATTTTCAGACCTGTTTGAGATCTATGATCAGACAGAAGAAAGAAGAGGTCACTTCAGACTATGGAGATGCAGCCTGAGGAGAGGTAACCCTGTTACCTTTGAGTCTGCCAGAGGCAGCCTTGTGGTTGACGGTCCCCTCGTGCAGCAGCCTGGGTCTGCCCAGAGTCAGGTCCTCTCCGCGGAAGACACGGCCATCTTTGACCTTGCCCAGGGACTTGGGCTCCATCTTGTGGGCGATGTCTCGGAGGCGCGAGGCTTTCTGATGGAGGTTGACCAGGGCATCAACCTGGACGATGCAGTCTTTGATCAGACTCAGAGACCTCGTCAGCTCCTCGTGCTCGTCCGTGCCCACTGGAGGGAGGAACGAAAAGACCCAGGTCAACTTCAGACACACTGGGTCGATTACAACGAAGAGGCAGAACTTAACACGCTCCTGCAGGTTACCACTGCTTTTCAAAAAAAATGGGAGATAACATAAAATGTTAAAATAAACTTGTGTCAACTCTGAGTTCAACTCGGGATAAACGGTACCACGAAAGTGGCTCACCTTTAGGCAGGTCAATTTCTATGGCAACGAATCCTTCAGAACTATCCTGCAGGCTAACTCAGGACTAACTTCATTTATCCTGAATTAAGTGTCTAAGCAGCGAGTTGAGGACCGATGAATCCAGATACCCTCCCTCTCACAAAGATTGCATCATTGGTACATCTCTTGCCAGGGGGGCAGGTAGCTTAGTGGTTAAGAGCGTGGTTAAGAGCGTTGTGCCAGTAACCGAAAGGTCGCTAGTTCTAATCCCCGAGCCGACTAGGTGAAAAATCAGTCGATGTGCCCTTGAGCAAGGCACTTAACCCTAATTGCTCATGTAAGTCGCTCTGGATAAGAGCGTCTGCTAAATGACCAATTATTATTATTTTATTATTTATCTCTTAACTTAGTTTGAGAAAAGCTAAGGGTTGGTTAAGAGATGGCTAAGTTATTGACAAATCAGGAAATTACATTTTAGATGTCCATTTAAATCCTTTGTAAATCCACTTTACAATGGCCTATCAACTTAACTTTGTAGGGTAATCAAAGACATCACCATAATGAACCATATTAAGTTTGGCATTGATATCTTAAAAAATAAGGAAACGTAACAATTCACCTTTTTGTGTAACGCTTAAAACAATCCCAAAAATATTCTCATGGACTAAAAGTCAGATTCATTCCAAATTTGGTCTTTGGACTCATCACAACAGTCCCTAAAGAGTTTGAGAAAATAACGTTGATGCATTCAAAGATGGCCACACTAAGGGGTTAGTCAAAGGATGGTGAGTTATTGACAAATCAGATTTTACGTGTACATTTAAACCACTGTAAATCTACTCCACAGTGGCCTATCAACTTGAAACTTGTCATCGCTATCACGGACATCCCTAAGATGAACCACACTGAATTTGTTATTTTTTTAAAGAAGTAGACTATTAACAACTCATTCTTTGCATATATACTGAGTGTACAAAACATTAAGAACATCTGTTCTTTCCATGACATACACTGAGCATACACAACATGACAGACAGACCAGGTGAATCCAGGTGAAAGCTATGATCCCTTATTGATGTCACTTGTTAAATCCACTTCAAATCAGTGTAGATGAAGGGGAGGAGATCGGTTAAAGAAGGATTTTTAAGCCTTGAGACAATTGAGACATGGATTGTGTATGTGTGCCATTCAGAGGGTGAATGATTTTTGTGCCTTTGAACGGGGTATAGTAGTAGGTGCCAAGAGCACCGGTTTGTGTCAACTGCAACGCTGCTGGGTTTTTCATGCTCAACAGTTTCCGGTGTGTATCAAGTATGGTCCGCCACCCAAAGGACATCCAGCCAACTTGACACAACTGTGGGTAGCATTGGTGTCAACCAGTACTTAAGTAAAAATACTTTTAAGTACTACTTAGGTCGTTTTTTTTATATCTGTACTTTACTATTCATATTTTAGACTACTTTTACTTTTACTTCACTACATTCCTAAAGAAAATAATGTACTTTTATTCCATACATTTTTCCTGACACCCAAACGTACTCGTTACATTTTGAATGCTTAGCAGCACAGGAAAATTGTCCAATTCACACACTTATCAAGAAGTCATCCCTACTGCCTCTGATCTGGCCGACTCACTAAACACAAATGCTTTATTTGTAAATGTTAGAGTGTGCCCCTGGCTATCCATACATTTAAAAAACAAGAAAATTGTACCGTCTGGTTGGCTTAATATAAGGAATAAGAAATTATTTTGAAACTTAAGTATATTTTAGCAATTACATTTACTTTTGATACTAAAGTATATTTAAAACCAAATACTTGTAGACTTTTACTCAAGTAGTTTTTCACTGGGTGACTTTCACTTTTACTTGAGTCATGTTCTATTAAGGTATCTTTTACTTTTACTCAAGTATGACAATTGAATACTTTTTCCACCACTGGTGTCAACATGGGCCAGCATCCCTTTGGAATGCTTCGACACCTTGTAGAGTCCATGCCCCAACAAATTGAGGCTGTTCTGAGGGCAAAGGGGGGTGCAACTCAATATTAGGAAGGTGTTCCTAATGTTTTGTACTGTCAGTATGTCTGTATGTGTGTCTTTCTCTCTTGCTCGCTCTTCTCTCTCTCTCTTCTCATCCTCTCCCTCGCTTCTCTCTTCTCTATACTCTCTGTCTCCGTTTTCCACACACAGAGAGGCTCTTCAGTGACGGGGGGTGCAACTCCATATTAGGAAGCTGTTCCTAATGTTTGGTATACTCAGTGTATAACACTAATGCTAAAAATCATAATCTCCTCATGAACCATGCATCAGATTCACTCCAGATGTTGTATTTAGACTAATGATTGCACATAAAGGAAGATACTGTAGTTCCTACATTCTTGCTTTGTTATCCAACTGATAGTGTCCTTTCTGTCATCCTGTGATCCCCGTTCATTGCTGCTCGCAGCTATATCTTTACTACTTATCGTTAATACCGTCTTTGGTGTGATTATCAATGCACAAGCACCTTTTAACCCACTCCTATCCATGAAGGCTCCTCAGAGGAAAAAGTGGAGGACCATCCTCAGTGAATTTCAGAAATATTTAAATAGTCAAACATTTAAAAACTATATTAAATATATTCCCGTCACCAAATAATTGATTAAAACACACTATTTTGCATTGAAGGTCTAGAGTAGCCTCACCAGCACACTGTAGGATAGCACCATGGTGTAGACTGAGGACAGCTAGTTTCCGTCCTCCTCTTGATACATTGACTTCAATACAAAACCTAGGAGGCTTGTGGTTCTCACCCCCTTCTATAGACTTACAGAGTAATTATGACAACTTCCGGAGGACTTCCTCCAACCTATCAGAGCTCTTGCAGCTTGAACTGACATGGTGTCCACCCAATTAAAGGATCAGCATGAATCTAGTACTGAAATCATAAGCTACAGCTAGCTAGCACTGCAGTGCATAAAATGTGGTGAGAAGTTGACTCAAAGCGAGTGAAAGACAATAGTTGAACAGTTTTTAACAAATAATTTCTTCAAAAATGAAGGAGAAGCAAGAGAGGGAGAGGAGAAAGCTAGCTACAGTGAGGGAAAAAAATATTTGATCCCCTGCTGATTTTGTACGTTTGCCCACTGACAAATAAATTATCAGTCTATAATTTTAATGGTAGGTTTATCTGAACAGTGAGAGACAGAATAACAACAAAAAAATCCAGAAAGAATGTTATAAAATGATTTGCATTTTAATGAGGGAAATAAGTATTTGACCCCTCTGCAAAACATGACTTAGTACTTGGTGGCAAAACCCTTGTTGGCAATCAGAGGTCAGACGTTTCTTGTAGTTGGCCACCAGGTTTGCACACATCTCAGGAGGGATTTTGTTCCACTCCTCTTTGCAGATCTTCTCCAAGTCATTAAGGTTTCGAGGCTGACGTTTGGCAACTAGAACCTTCAGCTCCCTCCACAGATTTTCTATGGGATTAAGGTCTGGAGACTGGCTAGGCCACTCCAGGACCTTAATGTGCTTCTTCTTGAGCCACTCCTTTGTTGCCTTGGCCGTGTGTTTTGGGTCATTGTCATGCTGGAATACGCATCCACGACCCATTTTCAATGCCCTGGCTGAGGGAAGGAGGTTCTCACCCAAGACTTGACGGTACATTGCCCCGTCCATCGTCCCTTTGATGCGGTGAAGTTGTCCTGTCCCCTTAGCAGAAAAACTCCCCCAAAGCATAATGTTTCCACCTCCATGTTTGATGGTGGGGATGGTGTTCTTGTGGTCATAGGCAGCATTCCTCCTCCTCCAAACACGGCGAGTTGAGTTGATGCCACAGAGCTCGATTTTGGTCTCATCTGACCACAACACTTTCACCCAGTTCTCCTCTGAATCATTCAGATGGTGATTGGCAAACTTAAGACGGGCCTGTATATGTGCTTTCTTGAGCAGGGGGACCTTGCGGGCGCTGCAGGATTTCAGTCCTTCACGGCGTAGTGTGTTACCAATTGTTTTCTTGGTGACTATGGTCCCAGCTGCCTTGAGATCATTGACAAGATCCTCCCGTGTAGTTCTGGGCTGATTCCTCACCGTTCTCATGATCATTGCAACTCCACGAGGTGAGATCTTGCATGGAGCCCCAGGCCGAGGGAGATTGACAGGTCTTTTGTGTTTCTTCCATTTGCGAATAATCGCACCAACTGTTGTCACCTTCTCACCAAGCTGCTTGGCGATGGTCTTGTAGCCCATTCCAGCCTTGTGTAGGTCTACAATCTTGTCCCTGACATCCTTGGAGAGCTCTTTGGTCTTGGCCATGGTGGAGAGTTTGGAATCTGATTGATTGATTGCTTCTGTGGACAGGTGTATTTTATACAGGTAACAAACTGAGATTAGGAGAACTCCCTTTAAGAGTGTGCTCCTAATCTCAGCTCGTTACCTGTATAAAAAGACACCTGGGAGCCAGAAATCTTTTTGATTGAGAGGGGGTCAAATACTTATTTCCCTCATTAAAATGCAAATCAATTTATAACATTTTTGACATGCGTTTTCCTGGATTTTTTTGTTGTTATTCTGTCTCTCACTGTTCAAATAAACCTACCATTAAAATTATAGACTGATCAAGTCTTTGTCAGTGGGCAAACGTACAAAATCAGCAGGGGATCAAATACTTTTTTCCCTCACTGTATATTTAATATTTTTTTCAGTTACTTAGCTAGCGAATGCAGTTAGCTAGTTTAGCCTACTCAAACACCTGGCTCAAACAGAGGGATGCTATGTTAGCTAGCTGGCTATGACCATTCAACACTGGAACTCTTCCAAGTCAAGGTAAGCTTTTGGTTTTATAAATCTATTGCCACCGGGGCCCGCCACAGACGTTTTTGTGAGAAGACAGATTTTAGGGATGTCTCATGGTCTGACAAACACCGCTCAAGGCTAAGAGTTATGGAGCGGTAAATCAGTGGCCAGTGATGGTTGCAATTGAGATCAGCTGTGCGGGTGATATCCATTTTTTATTGAAGGTTTAACGAGAGATTACCTTGTGATAGTACGCTGGCCAATGTTCATTGCAATAGACCATCTCTGAACGTTAGGGTGAAATAATTTTATTCTTTCTATTCCAACAGTCCTTCAAGTTCCTGCCACAAAGTCCTTAACAGCATGTTGGGCCTAAACCTTCCAGAGCTAGCGAGGGGAAAGACATGGGGCCCCAATTACGACCCGAGTTAAGCGCACGTAAAAGGAACGTAATTCCCTTTATGCACTTTTCTCTCTATGACCTTGAACTTAAGCATGAGAATAGCATGGAAATCGAATGAAGGTGTGGCGGCGGCGGTGTCTACAGATACGCCGTATTCTGACTGACTTCATTCCACCACCTTTACAAGTGAGGAAACCATGAATAAGGTTTAGTGAACCTACCAGTTCCAATAGAAATAACAGCATTCTCCATGCACTGTAACTTCTAAATGGATAGGAGCTAGGTAAATGAGTAATACATTTGAAGAAGGGGATTGTAAATACACATAGGAATTGTTTTAGATGAGTTTTCCTTATGATCCCTGGAGATGAATGTGAAAACAAGTCATATGGAAGCAAACTGAAAATCATATCAACATAACATGTATTACGGCCCCTTTTCCACAGGGAAATAGGCTATAAACAGCTGTGCTGTTATTCCAATTTTTTATTGTGAGCCCTCATAATTTGCATGGATGAAATTTGGACACCCAAGCTATAGGCTTCTGTAGGGCTGAACCTGCCGAGTAGATGTATGCGCTTTAGAATGTTTAAATTAAAGCCTATGCCAGGGCTTTTCTCCGTTTTATTTTACAATTTGTATCATGTTAAATATTAGCCAGCATCGGGCGCCACATACATTTATAACTGTCACTTTAGTGTTCATTTTCTTCAATTCGTAGCTTACATTTTGCATCATTCCATGCCGTTTACCTTTCTTTCCTCTGTCACATCAGTGTAAGTTGTTCCTGAGGGTCGCTAGCATTAGTGGATCATTTTAGGCTAACGTTGTGCAATAATTTGGGACATGTAGCCAATTTGAATCATTATGGAACTCACGTAGCAGGTTAAACCTGGAGCCTGGCGCACGGTTCCCTATGACTGGACCCATCATACAGTTCCATGATTAGTGAGAATTAGGGTAGGTTTATAGGACTATTGTTCAACCTCTATTGTACACTTTTTCCCCCACCTTCCAATATTTAATATATTGAACTTGAAATTGACAACTTTCAGGATAAATCAAACCGCAATATTTTTATTCATCAATATTTTTGTGCGTAAAGGCTCTCCAAATCTGTTTTATGATTCATACATACTTTCATTAACCCTAAAATGTGCCTAAATAATCTACAAGATCAGAGTATTTTTAAATCTACCAGTTGGTGCTGAAACGGAGATGAAGAGATGGCATTCTTTCATTGATCCATATATTCTGAAGCAGTTCTCTCAATGTATTCTATTGAGTCTGTCGACAAAGTTATAATTCAAGCTACACCATATTTAAAGGGATGTCTTAAGACAAATGTACTGAAAACTCCACTGAATGAAAACTCCACAAGAAAATCTGTTGGCCAGCAAGTGGGAAGGTTTTCAGCAGTTGAATGAAATGTATTCACAGCGCAAGGTAGCCACACCTGCATAGCACGTTACGCGACTGAATAAGGTAAGTCAGAATACCAAATACTGAGAAGTGCGTAGGAAAGGTGTGCGTAGGAAAGACATAAATTCCTAAGTCGGGATCGGGCCAAGACATAAAGCGTCTGTTTCCTTACCTTCCGTGTTCTGCACAATGCGTTCCACCAGCACTGGGTACTTCGTGATGCGCTGAGTCACCAGTAGAATACACTCTGTCACTCCTAATCTTCTCACAATGGACAAATTGTTGATTTTCTGGAAGGAAAAGCTACATATTTTATACACAGTTCATAGACCATGTAGTGCAATCAATAAATATATCTGGTTACACACAGGAGGCCTCAATAGCTGAATTTGAAAAAGTCTCATATGTTCTTAAATAACCTACTGTCATTAATGTTTCCTATCCTCTTTAAGTTAGCACATGGTGGATTGGACAGCTGGACAGGATTTTTGTCAATGTCTCTACTATAGTAATGGAATCAATAACAACTTACCCGTATGAGGTTCTGGAACTTCTTGTTGTTGTGCAGCTGCTCCTTGTAGTAATTGACAGCCTCTGTGTGGTGGCTACAAAAATCACCATAGCTCTCCTTCATCCGTTCCCCTATCTCACCTGAAAACTGGAGAGGAGACAAGGATGAGAACTGTCTCAGTATTGTTAGAGCGCTTCCCAGGCTCCTCTGATCACCTCCTTTCACTGACAAGTTTTTTAATTGTAAGGATTTTTTATAGAGGGGGAGACTGGTAGTAGGGGCATAGAGCGTGGCCGAGACGGGGCTCGAACCCCCGTCGCCAGAGGGGGCATATGTGATCTGGAGTCAGCAGCTTAGGCTGTGTTTACACAGGCAGCCAATTCTGATCTTTTGCCACCAATTGGTCTTTGACCAATCAGACCAGATAATTTGCCCATAATTGGGCAAAAGATCAGAATTGGGCTGCCTGTGTAAACACAGCCTTTGACCATTTTACATTTTAGTCATTTAGCAGACGCTCTTATCCAGAGCGACTTACAGTTAGTGAGTGCATACATTATTTTTATTTTTTATTATTATTTTTTATTCATACTGGCCACCCGTGGGAAACGAACCCACAACCCTGGCATTGCAAACACTATACCAACTGTGCTACATCCCTGCCGGCCATTCCCTCCCCTACCATGGACGACGCTGGGCCAATTGTGCGCCGCCTCATGGGTCTCCCGGTCGCGGCCGGCTACGACTGGATTCGAACCATGATCTCTAGTGGCCCAGCTAGCACTGCGATGCAGTGCCTTAGACCACTGCGCCACTCGGGACCACTACACCAGACTCCGGCAATCTCTGACAGGTTCACTGAGTGTACAAAACATTAGGAACACCTTACTAATATTAAGTTGCACCCCCTTTTGCCCTCAGAACAGCCTCAATTTGTCGGGCATAGATTAGAGGTGTTGAAAGCGTTCCACAGGGATGCTGGCCCATGTTGACTCCAATGCTTCCCACAGTTGTGTCAAGTTGGCTGGATGTCCTATTCTTGATACACAGAGGAAACTGTTGAGCATGAAAAACCCAGCAGCGTTGCAATTCTTGACACACTCAAACCAGTGTGCCTGCACCTACTACCATACCCCATTCAAAGGCACTTAAATCTATTGTTGCCCATTCACGCTCAATGGCACACACACAATCCATGTCTCAATTGTCTCAAGGCTTAAAAATCATTCTTTAACCAATCTCCTCCCCTTCATCTACACTGACTGAAGTGGATTTAACAAGTGATATCAATAAGGGATCATAGCTTTAACCTGGATTCACCTGGTCAGTCTATGTCATTTAAAGAGCAGGTGTTTTTAATGTTTTCTATATCTTATTTTCCCTTATAAAAGGCAAGGAGGCAGAGAGGAAAACAGTCAAGGTAATTGGTATACAGCGTCTGAATTAATTTCTCTCTACCTGCAAAAAGGGGAAAAATACAAGTCACTGTGTGTGTGAGGGTGAGACAGAATTAGAGAAAGTGTGTGTAACACTGTGTGTGTGTGTGGTGTCTCTACCTGTGTGGTAAGGATGTCAGCGAGTCTCTGTATGTTGTAGTTCTTGTCGCTGCCGGGCTGCATGGCGTCTCGGCGCCGCTCTTTGAGGCGGGAAAGGAAGTGTGTGTGCAGCTCCAGCAGGCTCTCCAGGCGCGGGAACAGACAGTCCAGACACCGCTCATCCATCTGAAGGTGCTCTTTCAGCTCCCTCACGTACACATGCAGCATGATTTTCAGGGTCCGTACGTGATGCATCTCTGTCTGCATCAACTCTGTTGGGATAAATAGACAGAACGACAGACAGACACAGACAGGGGGTTCAACATCTAATTAGCCTTTTACAGGAATTTGCTTTTCATCCACCGGACTCCATTATTGATTGTAGATCCAGACAAAGAGATAAATGGAACAATTGACATTGAGAGTTGAGGTTCTCCATTCTCATAATTCACCTTCTAATTCTAAACTTAACCACAGATATAACTATAAAAACACAATGAAAGCCTACATAAAACACGACAAATGTAACAAAATGTATAATTTATTTTTTATAAGACATCAAAAGACCATGTATGACAAACTGACCGTAGATGACGTCCTGTCTCTTGACCATCTCCTTGGTGTGTTTCTTCAGGTACTGTTGGTCCACAGCCAGGCTCCATGACTCCACATCCAAGTCCTGGGCATCTGACTCCAGATCAGCTCGAACCGCAGAGTAGTACGCATCTGGGGGAGGGGAGGGGCACGGAACAGCACGGCACGGCTCAGGATTAGTGTTGAGGTTGAGGCTGGCTGCAGCAGTGTGACTGTGTGTGTGTGTAGCACAACTCAACTCAAATAATTAGGATTAGTGTGTGTGTGTAAGCAGCACAACTCAAATGTATTTTTAATGCGTTCAATAGGTGATGTTCGTTAATGTCACATCATATGATTTACCAATATGTGCAATTAATAAATAATAATCCTACGCTATGATTAGTGGCTATGACCACTAACAACACATACTGATCTCCTGTAGTCTGGGTGGATGACTGTTTTGTCTTTCTACTGTAGCAGCACTAGCTACATCACTGCTAGACAACCTGGGATAATCATACAGTCTCTCTCACACACTCCAGCTTAATGAAACTGGGTGAGGTCCCATCTCTCTCCCCCAACAGCCCACGCTCTCTATATGTCAGCCACATAACCCGTCTCATAACCTATGACAACAGCGTTGCACAACCCTCCTTTTGGAGAGCTACCCTCCTGCAGGCTCTCTCTCCAACCCTAATCTAGCACACCTGATTCTACTAATTGGCTGCTCAAAAAGCCTGCCCACCTGGCTGTACGGTACTCTCTCTCATGTATCTAAGCTCTAACGAGCAGCTCCCTCCCTAACCCACTCACCCTCTACGATGATGGAGTCAGTGGTGGAAGGGGCCAGAGACAGCGCGTCCTCGTTGAAGCGCTTGATCCCGAAGCGGAGGCTGTCCGTCTCGTCCATGTCCCCTGGGAGGGATCTGAAAGAGGAGCGCCACAGGTCCAGAGTGGCGTACATACTGAACATACTGAGAGACTACAAAAACACTAACACTACAGACACAGCTACAATACAGAGGTCCTGAATGGCATACTGTCCTGAGACTATACATCTACCACAAGACACAGATACACTAAACACCACCACTGGCATAGGAGAGAAAGACACAGCTTACTAAAGTGGCATACGTGCTGAGAGAGACTATACTACCACAGATGGCAAAGACACAGCTACATGCCTTCCGCAGCCTGCCTGCAAGATGCCCTGTCTACGACAGCACGATGATAGCGCTGGCTGTTTTAAGCTCTGTCTCGCCTCAAATCAAAAGAGCTGCAAAATGCACCTGACAGTTAGCTGCAGCATGGTCACCTATTAATAACACATCACAGACATGTAGAAAATCTAGAGCCAAAACCAGCTTTTAGCTGGAAGGAAATAATGTATAAATAGCCTAGATTTACATGCAACACAACCACCAGAATCTTTTCACTTAAAGGTAAAATGTATTTGTTTAAAAACTAACATTGAAAGACAATGAGACCAAGACAAAGGCATCCTATGCAGCTTCCTCTATTGGATGGTAAATTCAATTATACAGAGCAGTGGTATAGAGTCTATACAGATGATTTAGGGCAGTGGTATAGTGTCTATAACTACAGTCTATTATGACAATGGTATAGCCTACATAGCGGTGGTCAATACACTGCTATTGACCAGCGGCTAGCTTATGTAGCCTACCTGACTGATTGGTCAGGTGGCTAGCTGTTGTTAGTACTAACCCAGAGCTGCTGTTGTGGCTGTGGTTGAGGTTGAGGCTGGCTCCAGCAGTGTGACTGTGGCTGGAGGAAGAGCTGTTGGAGGCGGCAGGCTGAGCACTGGGTCCCCGTGGGGTGAGGGTCATGCCTGGGACTTGCGGCGAGCCGGAGGGGCCATCAGGGGCCGGCGAGGACTTGTCCTGATCCCACTCCCTCAGGGCTGGGAAAAGACGAGAGGAGGATGAAGAGGAGGATGAGAGATGGTTAAAGCGCTGCTTGCCCCAGTAACGCTGCAGCCAGGCGCGAGGCAGAGAACCCTGCAGGAAGCGACAGGTGAGGTGGTCTCTGTGCATCAGCACCCGGACCCCCAGACGGCCAGACAGACCCCAGGGGGGCCCCCAGACATTGACCCTACGTTGGGTAGGTCTGGCCCGACCAACCCCCTTGTTAACCTCTAGCTCCATAGTGTCGGTCTGTGTCGCAGGAGTAGAGGTGATGCTGCTGCTCGCACTGTAGGCACGGAGACCGAGACACACATGGCTTTATATGCCCACCCAACTCCTGATCTAGTACATTCTAGAGGTCACGCATGCCCCTTTCCTTTTCTCTCTCTCTCTCTCGTTCTTTTTACATCTCTCTCGCTCTCTCTCTTCCCCGCTCCCTCCCCCTCCCCACGATCTCCCTCTCTCTCCACCTCCACCTCTCTGTTTCCTGCGGGGGCTGTGGTGTGTGATAATAGGCAGAGACTAACAAGCAGGAGGGGAGATGAGAACACAGGTGTCTGTCAGTCAGAGTCCTGCTGCTCTTCAGATGACTGCTGCAACTGAAGATAAGCAGTGTAGATTCAACCCTCACCTACATGAGCAGTGTAGATTCAACCCTCACCTACCAGACTGCTGCTACTGAGGATGAGCAGTGTAGATTCAACCCTCACCTACCAGACTGCTGCTACTGAGGATGAGCAGTGTAGGTTCAACTCTCACCTACCAGACTGCTGCTACTGAGGATGAGCAGTGTAGGTTCAACCCTCACCTACCAGACTACTGCTACTGAGGATGAGCAGTGTAGGTTCAACCCTCACCCACCAGACTACTGCTACTGAGGATGAGCAGTGTAGGTTCAACCCTCACCCACCAGACTACTGCTACGGAGGATGAGCAGTTTGGCAAAAAGAAACATTTTCCGCCCTAATTCCTCTTGGATCAATAAGATTAGGATCTGTATTTATCTATTTCATCATTATTGTTAAGTTTATTGATCAGATATTATGCATTTCACCAGAATTTCCACAACTACCAACGCAAAAATTATAATTACCACAGTTTTCGAAGTCCGAAAAAGTAATAAACAAATAAATGTATATTTAAAAAAAAATTGCTCCCCTAATGAAAAGGCCTGAGTTACACATAATACTGAAAACAAATATACACTGAACAAAAATATTTCACTGAGTTACAGTTCATATAAAGAAATCAGTCAATTTAAATAAATTCATTAGGCCCTAATCTATGGATTACACATGACTTGGAATACAGAAATGCATCTGTTGGTCACAGATACTTTTTTTAAAAGGTAGGAGCGTGGATCAGAAAACCAGTCAGTATCTGGTGTGATCACCATTTGCCTAATGAAGTGCGACTCATCTCCTTCGCACAGAGTTGATCAGGCTGTTGATAGTGGCCCACTCTCCTTCAATGGCTGTGCGAAGTTGCTGGATATCCAGAGCATCCCAAACATGCTCAATGGTTGGCGTGGTTACACGTGGTCTGTGGTTTTGAGGCCGGTTGGACATACTGCCAAATTCTCTAAAATGATGCTGGAGGCGGCTTATGGTAGAGGAATGAACATAAAATTATCTGGCAACAGCTCTGGTGGACATTCCTGCAGTCAGCATGCCACTTGCACTCTCCCTCAAAACTTTAGACATCTGTGGCATTGTGTTGTGTGACAAAACTGCACATTTTAGAGTGGCCTTTTATTGTCCCGAGCACAAGGTGCACCTGTGAGGTGCACCTGTGTAATGATCAAGCTTCTTGATATGCCACACCTGTTAGGTGGATGGATTATCTTGGCAAAGGAGAAATGCTCACTAACAGGGATGTAAACAAATTAGATAAATAAGCTTTTTGTGCATATGAAACATGGGACCAACACTTTATGTGCATAAAAAAGTGACTTTTTCTGAAAAAGTAATTTCTCCAAGGTCTTTAGAGTTAATGTTGGTGTATTGGGACATGGATATGTGTGGTTCTAAGTTATTTTAGATGTATTTCTAAATTTAATGGGATCCTATGGGCAAATGGCATAACATGATATGCCTATAAAGTATCTAAATATGTGGGATACGAACCAAAAACTGTCTTGGGATATAAAAACAACAGTATAGGCAAGTGTTAAAACAGGTACACATGTCAAAATGGGGAATATCATCTAAGTGCCAGGGTTACTCAAACTACAGATTGTGGCTGAATTAAATCTGGTTAACACAACCATTTCTCATATTTCTTGACAACCTACATAATCAAATAACTGATGTTTAACAAAAACTCTATACAAATTGGTGTAAGCAGTGGTCCTAGTACACAATTAAAGTTACCAGCACAGCACACCCATTGACTATAAATTAGAATTTGCTTATCATTATTACTGAGGGGGGGGGGGGGGGGGGGTTGCAATGCAAATAGTCCTGGTAGCCATTTGATTAGCTGTTCAGGAGACTTATGGCTTGGGGGTAGAAGCTGTTAAGATGCATTTTGGACCTAGACTTGGCGCTCCGGTACCGCTTGCCGTGCGGTAGCAGAGAGAACAGTCTATGACTAGGGTGGCTGGAGCCTTTGGCAATTTTTAGGGCTTTCCTCTGACACCACCTGGTATAGAGGTCCTGGGTGGCAGGAAGCTTGACCCCAGTGATGCACTGGGCCAGACGCACTACCCTCTGTAGTGACTTGCGGTCGGAGACCGAGCAGTTGCCATACCAGGCGGTGATGCAACCAGTCAGGATGCTCTCGATGGTGCAGCTGTAGAACCTTTTTGAGGATCTGAGGACCCATGCCAAATCTTTTCAGTCTCCTGAGGGGGAATAGGCTTTGTCGTGCCTTCTTCACGACAGCCTTGGTGTGTTTTGACCATGGTAGTTTGTTGGTGATGTGGACACCAAGGAACTTGAAGCTCTCAACCTGCTCCACTACAGCCCCGTCGATGAGAATGTGGGTGTGCTCGGTACTCCTTTTCCTGTAGTCCACAATCATCTCCTTTGTCTTGATCACGTTGAGGGAGAGGTTGATATCCTGGCACCACACGGCCATGTCTCTGACCATGCAGTCATGGGTGAACAGGGAGTACAGGAGGGGACTGAGCACGCACCCCTGAGGGGCCCCCGTGTTAAGGATCAGCGTGGCAAATGTGTTGTTACCTACCCTTACCACCTGGGGGCGGCCTGTCAGGAAGTCCAGGATCCAGTTGCAGAGGAAGGTGTTTAGTCCCAGTGTCCTTAGCTTAGTGATAAGCTTTGAGGGCACTATGGTGTTGAACGCTGAGCTGTAGTCAATGAATAGCATTCTCAAATAGGTGTTCCGTTTGTCCAGGTGGGAAAGGGCAGTGTTGAGTGCAATAGAGATTGCATCATCTGTGGATCTGTTGGGGTGGTACGCAAATTGGAGTGGGTCTAGGGTTTCCGGGATAATGGTGTTGCTGTGAGCCATGACCAGCCTTTCAAAGCACTTCATGGCTACAGACGTGAGTGCTATGGGTCGGTAGTCATTTAGGCAGGTTATCTTAGTGTTCTTGGGCACAGGGACTATGGTGGTCTGCTTGAAACATGTTGGTATTACAAACTCAGTCAGGAACAGGTTGAAAATGTCAGTGAAGACAATTGCAACTTGGTCAGCGCATGCTCGAAGTACACATCCTGGTAATCCGTACCTTCAGGCTCTGATCAGTCCCTACACCCAAACGAGGGCATTGCGTTCATCCACCTCTGGCCTGCTGGCCCCCCTACCTCTGCGGAAGCACAGTTCCCACTCAGCCCAGTCCAAAAAAAAAAAAAAAAAAACATATTGTAAAGTGGTTATCCCACTGGCTATAAGGTGAATGCACCAATTTGTAAGTCGCTCTGGATAAGAGTGTCTGCTAAATGACGTAAATGTAATCCGTCTTTTCCTGCGGCCTTGTGAATGTTTAACTGTTTAAAGGTCTTACTCACATCGGTCACGGAGAGCATTATTACACAGTCGTCCGGAACAGCTGATGCTCTCAAGCGTCCGGGTTAGAGACCCGCTCCTTGAAAGCGGCAGCTCTAGCCTTTAGCTCAGTGCGGATGTTGCCTGTAATCCATGGCTTCAGGTTGGGGTATGTACGTACAGTCACTGTGGAGACGACGTCATCGATGCACTTATTAATGAAGCCATTGACTGATGTGGTGTACTCCTCAATTCCATCGGAAGAATCCCGGAACATATTCCAGTCTGTGCTAGCAAAACAGTCTTGTAGCTTAGCATCTGCTTCATCTGACCACTTCTGTATTGAGCGAGTCACTGGTACTTCCAGCTTTAGTTTTTGCTTGTAAGCAGGAATCAGGAGGATAGAATTATGGTCAGATTTGCCAAATGGAGGGCGAGGGAGCGCTTTGTTTGTGTCTCTGTATGTGGAGTAAAGGTGGTCTAGAGTTTTTTTTCCCTCTGGTTGCACAATTAACATGCTGGTAGAAATGAGGTAAAAACTGATTTAAGTTTCCCTGCATTAAAGTCCCCGGCCACCAGGAGCGCCGCCTCTGGATGAGCGTTTTCCTGTTTGCTTATGGCCTTATACAGCTCATTGAGTGCGGTCTTAGTGCCAGCATCGGTTTGTGGTGGTAAATAGACAGCTACGAAAACTCTCTTGGTAAATAGTGTGGTCTACAGCTTATCATGAGATACTCTACCTCAGGTGAGCAAAACCTTGAGACTTCTTTAATATTAGATTTTGTGCACCAGCTGTTATTTACAAATATACACAGACTGCCACCCCTTGTCTTACCAGAGGCAGCTGTTCTATCTTGCTGATGCACCGAAAACCCTGCCAGCTGTATGTTATCCATGTCGTCGTTCAGCCACGACTCTGTGAAACATAAGATATTACAGTTTTTAATGTCCCGTTGGTAGGATATTCTTGATCGGAGCTCATCCATTTTATTATCCATTGATTGTACGTTGGCTAATAGGACTGATGGTAGAGGCAGACTACCCACTCGCCGTCGGATCCTTACAAGGCATCCCGACCTACGTCCCCGATATCTCTGTCTCTTCTTCATGCGAATTATGTGGATTTGGGCCTTGTCGGGTGTCTGAAGTAAAGAAAAAATCTTTGTCCAGTATGAGGTGAGTAATCGCTGTCCTGATATCCAGAAGCTCTTTTCGGTCACAATAGATGGTGGCAGAAACATTATGTACCAAATAAGTTACAAATAACGAGAAAACACACACACAAT